GGGGGGGGGGGGGGGGGGGGGGGGGGTATGGGGCAAGCGTTGTGGATTACGTAAGTAACGAAGGAAATGCTATGCACATCTAAGATTCCTTTTGTAGGAGAAAAAGAATGAAAGCTTGGGACGAATGTCCGCATCACTGTCAGATCTGCTATCAGCAGTTCGCTAAGGTGAAACAACAGTTATCAAAACATTCAACCTATAAAGTCCGAAGTCATCTCCTCTCCACCCCGTATTCGCTCTCTGCGAGAGGTGAATGCACTCGAAAACGGTCCCAGTAGTAGAACGCGTCAACAAAAACCACCCGACGACATGAACGTTGAAGGCTCTCTCTTTCGAGGATCACTTAGAAGCAAGCTGATAGCAAGTTTAACTCTCTGACATATACCAGTACAAAACAATCAATTGCAGTCATTGCAACAGAAGCAAGATGGGACAAACCTAAACAAACGGCTTCGCCTTTCGTTGAAACAATGACAATTTCTTCGTTCAGTTCAATTCCATTGTCATAACGCAAAATTCCTGGCAAAAGTATTTTTGCACCATAACAAATTGCATTTACCTGTAATTCCGAAATTTAGCAATTAATGGAACTTCAACATTGCAATGCAAACACTTCTGCAAAAGTTACCGGGTGCATATTTAAAGAAAAAGACTGTAAATTAACAACTTTTTCAAATATTCAAAGTTAATTTTTGCACAAAATTCCAGGGTTCTTCCGGCTTCGCGCCATATTTCGTCCAAGCAGTATCAAATTCTTCCCTGTATTCAAACTTTTCATCCTTCCTACTTCACTCTCCGCTCTTTCAGGCCATCTAATTTTTTCCCCTTTACTTTGGGAATTTTCTTGATTGCTATCAGTTACTGCAGCTAATCCACATCTTCACAGCGGTGACTCCACTAATAACCACCTAGTAATTACGTCCACTGTTCGGAAAAACATTCGTAAATAGCGATCTTATCATTAAATTGTGAAGCTTTTGTTTTAAGAAATATCAGGGGGGTTGGGGGGATGGAGGAAGCGGGGAAGGGGAAAGGGAGGGATCAAATTAGAAATATCAAATCTTCGACTAATAATTCTTTACAAAACATATCTAATTTTATAGGAGAGCTTAAGAAATGCAGCTTACAGCGCTGTCTTTCACAACGATACGCTTGTGATGAACAAGAAGCGATTCGAGTGGTCGGATCACTCTCCTCAAATAAGTCTCATCATTCTGATGGTCGTACAGATATTGCGCATCCAGAATGTCGTGCATTGTCACCAAATTGTCATCCTCACCAAAAACGCCTGCAAAAAGTAAACAGACTAAGTCATAGCCAGAAAAAAAACAATAACATAACCTTTCCTGAAGCAAAATGATAAAAAAGCCGAAAACATAAAAATATATATACCCATGCAGTTGTGGTTTTTTCTAATGTACATTTTCATTAGTATTTTTGTATGCGTTTCCCTTTCGCTTACTTTTATTCACTTGTTTACTTATCCGCCCAACCCATTTACCGGATTTTTCAAGGATTGTACAGCAGTTTCAATGTCTCTTCTACTAAGATACTAAACACCCAATCTACTAAGCATAAGGCACCAGACCTGAGCGAACTCTTCGTAATTCTTGCATTTGACCACCAACACCAAGCAATAAGCCGAGATGCACGCAGATTGTTCGCACATATGTTCCCGCTTCGCATTTCACCTGAAACGAAGAACAGTCTGATTTGCCAGAACAGAGGAGGCAAACAAAATGGGCATACATCGACAAAGTGGGTGCCTGCTACTGCTTTTTTTTGGAACCAAAATCGATCACGCGTTAGAAAAAAAACGCCAAAAAATTAATCAAAAATGCAAATTTCGGCTATCCCTCTATACACTCTCTATAAACCATGAAACAACCCAACAATAGATGCCAAAAGCAACCACTCGCTGGTAAAACTATCAATGAAATCCTTCTCCAAGGACTGCTTACAAGCAAGCTGATGGCAATGATTAAATGTAGCTGCGAAAGAATGCGAGAAAACTGAAATTGCACAATAAGCGAATGTTGTGTATACCCAAAAAATGCCCATATTCTGACTGGGATTGTATTCGACCAATTTATTCTCGTAGACTGTTCGAATTCGGAGCTGTCGCTTGACGGCCGAAATGAGCGGTGGACGTTGAAACAGGGCGCCTGTTAATTTCTCCAGTGCCTGACGCACCTTCTTTTCCGATTCAACAGCATTGTGTAATCGAAAAATTGCAACGTATTCTTTACCGGCGCCTTGTTGTGATTTTGCTAGTCTTGTTGCTCGGTCGATACAAACGATCAAACAGCCTGATACCTGAAAAAATAAAAATCAAAAACAAGGAAAAAATCATGACTGGAAATTGGACAATAAACTGCAAAAAAATAATCATAGTTGAGTTTTTCAACGAAAAATTGGAAAAAAAAAGGTCGTGACTGAGAATTCACAGCTGATAACAAAAAAAAAAAAAACAGTAAAAATCGTAGTTAAAAACAAGGAAATCAGAATATCCATGTGAAGTTCAAAAAAAAAACTGAAGGAACAGAATTTTTTCAAGAAACAATTCAAAAAATCTATGTGTACTCGGAAAAATATCCTCCCCTTGATTTTGTTTTGCATTTTCAACTAATTCAGTTTCACCTATGTTTGGTGCATCCATCTGATATGGCACCTCGTTGTAAACTAAGAACTGTTAACGTTCGGACAGAGGTATTGATGCTCAACGTACACCAATGGCATTTTGAAGCTCTAGCAAAATGCTAGCTTTTTTTGAAGAAACGAACGTCAGGGTCACCGGAAAGTCAAGCAACCGGAGTTGCAGTACTGGTCAAAAGAATCAAAAAAATTCACAGCTGCATCTCTGGAGAATCAGGCTAAGAATTAAAGGATGTACCAAGTAATTTAAGTGAATACTTTTATCAGAAATATTAGAAGCACCCAAAAAACCAGTTAAAATAAAAGCTTCACAACC